AACCACTCTATTGATACATAGCTATATACAAATAATAAGTAATATAGTATTCATTCAGTTGACACGTTGCACTTTTTAAAGCATTTTCACTTCTTAGGTGATTTAAAAAGGAGATTGTTCATTAGTACCTAAATACTGTTGAATTCGCTTTCTTTCAAGCTGTCCACCCTACAGACTAATGTAGACAACGCTACACTAGTAATCTTATTGTTGTTTAACTGATTTACCTACCGATTTAATAATGAGAATAAAATAAATTATTTTATAATCATTATAATATGTAAAAAACCGGTATTAAACGTAAACGCAACGCTAATTGCATCATGAATATTGCAATCCTTTCATAAGAAGCTTATAAATATTTTCAAACCGACTTATATTTCATCTTAATCGTTATTAAGAGTTGTTTCCTACTAATTATTAAGTTATCAAACAAACATATTGTGAAGGCTAAGTGTAGTCCGAATCGTTATTTTTTCGTATAATTAAGAATTATAACTGCCATTTGGGTAATTATAGGTACAGCTACGAAGATATTATTAACAGATTTAATCAAATTAGACCTTGGCTAATACTTGCGATGGATAAAGCACCTCACAATTTAGTACTTATAAACATAGGCAACCTATCTGGTGCGGGTAAGCTTTCAACTGCAACTACAGGGACACAGGTTCGATTTACGTTTAATGCAAATATACAAAGGAACGTGTATATATATCAACTCTATATCGGGCACTAAAAATATTTGAAACACCAATAATTACACTTATTATATTTTACTTTTCATTTGCACGCTTTATAACAAGCGTTATTGAATAAGATTGTGCTAACCTTACCCACCCAAATTCCATTCACTGCGCCGTCTGTGAGCCATGGTCAAACTGCACTGACCCCGATCATAGAGTCTATTCAGACGAATTATATACTTACAATTTTAATTATATCTCTATGTAAGCTCCTACGGCAAAAATATAATTTGTTTTGTATTAAACACTACTCTCCCAGTTCATATCTGTAATTACTTCAATTACCAACTTCCTATTCATCAATTTGCATTCAATATCCTATGTTTTTATGATTGGTCATCAGTCAACAACCCTTAAGACCCTAATTGTCCTGCAGGGTTTTAAAGTAAAACACTCGGTGCGATGATAGAAGTAAGTGAGGTCAATTTTCCTTTGCGCCATTGTTGATGGTTAATTCATCCAAGTGCTTCCTCTTATATGAACTTACTTCAATAGTAAAGTAGAAGTAGGTAGTATTCAAATAGTCTCTTCTCACAAACTCCGTCCTTCAGAAGAAAACGGCCATCAACCTACTTCTACCTATAGCATTGTATTCCCAGGTGTGAGTGGATTGGTAAAGGCGTCACAAGTGTTTTTAAGCACTAGGAATTTTGTACCATCAGTCGGGTGGATTGTTTAACTTCTTGACAATTTGTTGTAATATACACATTTGTGTTTTATTATTAAATATATATCTACCCATAGACTTAAGAATAACATTCTTAATCTTATTGATTTTGGGAACATAATTTTCAAAGCATCATGTAAATCTTTCATCCAATAGTCATCATGATAATTACACCAACAATAAGATTTTGTGAACCATGTCAGCTGCGACTACCTGATCTGCTGATACTACAATTTTGTGCTCACATTAGGTAATCTCGTTTTATTTCATCTCATATTTTTTATGACAAAAGATCTTCGTCATTTTTGACAACGAAAGCCATCAACATTGTATAATGTGTCCGTGGCGCCGGCGTGTCGGGCCCCGGCTGAGGCGTCATCTACGCTTTGAACCAATCTCAAGGCGCGTTCGGTTGACGACCAATTACCCGGTATCACTCTGTTTCGGCCTGCGTCTGCGCCCAAATGGAACATAATGCCTAGGGTAATTATGACTTCAGCCGACTTGCCGGCAGTGTCTCACTGTCTTGAATCAATTTTACTCATTCTAGCACTCGTCGTGTTATACCCATTGTTTTTAAATTGATCCGAAATAGCTTTGGGAATGGTGTCGATTTTAAAACATTTATTTTTGATAGCCATATTCACGAAATCGAATTGTCAAATCAATTTGATCGTTATTAGATACGTTTTGTTTCCATTCTAAATCTCAAGTGATAGAGACAACAAATTTGGGAAAAGGGTAAGAAGATGATGATGATGACTGGATGATGACAAAAAAAGACACTTTCAAGACTATTTTATATTACCTAAGGTTTAGAAATCATGTTTAATAGGACATCATGTTAGGTACAGTTGGCAGCTCCAGCTACCAGTGGTCGGCAGCTCGACAGTTCTACTCATATCTATGTAGAAAAAAACTGAAATCTCTGTCTCTAAATATTACACAATATTTCTGTTCCTTATTTTATATCATAAAATAATTGTTAGGTATATACCTGTATTCGCCGAAACTTAATCATATTTTCTTTTGTCTACATAATAAATGTACTTAATATTTGGACATATTAATATTTGTATAACATATTTAAAAAAAAAACAACATTAAATGTCATAAATTTATACTAATTGCGTTAACTAAGTATTTAACCTGTTTAATTAAACTTGTACGAAAAGACGCAGTCAGACCGTCTTGTCATTACTCAAAAATAAAATGGATACTGAGCTTTAAATTGATAAAATGAGTATAGCTAGATTACATCTGCTTTTAACAGATTATCTTGTTTTATTAATAAAAAAAAATCTTCTTTAATTTAGTAAAGCAAACGGACAGTAGGTACTATAATGGCAAGCAGGTTTATCTGGAACTTTAACCATCATTACATTAGGTACACCTACACATGCCAAATAAAAAGATGAAACATTGAGATGTAGACAACAAACATAATTCTATAATTGACAGCAAATAATAATTGGTGGAAGGTAATGTAGCGCATGCACTGATGACGTAAGTGCCCGCCGCAATTTGGTGAAGTTTTATTATTTTTTTATGGTAATTGTAATTGTCGTGGAGTTAATTGAGAGAGCAGCCATATTTACAACTCAGCTCCGTTGATCTGACGTTTGATAGCGCTTGGTCCGCCCCCATTATTTCTATTTACTAGAATGCCGCCGCTAGTAGGTATTAATAACACATTGTGTACTGTAATTATGATCTCTTATGCTCATATCCGCGATTAGTTTTAACAAACTGTGCTTTGGAACTTTCTGTTTCAATTGTAATAAAAAGCCAATAAATAATATTGAAAAAAGGATAAAATAAAGTATCTTAATACATTGATAAATAAAAAAAACTGATTAATAATACGGAGTGTCACCACCCCTATTCATCCCGTGGGTGTCGTAAGAGCCCCCAGGGTAATGCCTCATTTCTAAGGAGAAGCCTATAGGCAGTGAACTATCAAAGGTCATTGATGATGATGAATATTGATTAGGTACGAGTATGCATTTTTGAGTGACTTCAAACTTTTCACTAAATTTCTACGACATTTCGTTGGACTTTACGTGATATATTCGCTAAATATGTACGTTTTTAATTAAGTCACGTTAAAATTTTAATTATGGAAGTATTTAACAACCCGATATAGGTGTGGACTCCTTATCTCTAAGTCATGAATGTTGCTATCTATATGTTGCTATCAACATAGTCGCACAGATTTGGAAAACTACATGTACCAAAACTTTGATATCAAGTAGACATATAAACTTCTAGCAGAGAAGCAGAGGCATATGTCTTAGTAGAAGGTATTAACAAAAATGGGTGATAGAAATACCCAATTTATACAATCTTTGGAGGAGTTAGAAAAAAATCTTAGGTCGTCTTGCCATCATAATCATCATGGCATCGCTATTTCATTTATATCCAACCACTATTTTTTCCACCTATATGAAACAAGTATTATATACTATAATCTACAACCACTATACAAGTATCTATTTAAAAGACTGTTCTCGAATAATCCTGGTTATTACTGTTCTAATTTTTATTATGTTATTATATTTTATTCTAAAATGAAATTGTTCGCACACAGAGATTTCTTTGATAAATTATGATGATCCACATTAAAGGTAGGCTTCCATACAACATTAATCTGAGTAAACCTATTTTTTAGTTCACATTAAACTTCAAGGTATCAGAATCAAGTAAGGGCTGGCACACACTGCAACGCAACAGCTGCGCCAATCACAATAAACAGGGCGTGGTCGCTCACCCCTGTACCCCTTACCTCAAAAGCCCTCCCCTCTCACTGTTCGGCGCCGTGTCGTGATCCCCGAATTATATTAATGCATACAATGGAACTTTTTATCAAACCATTGTGTCTCACATCGGGGTGAAATATCCGGCCGGATGCTCTTATGAATCTCACCTTTATTTAGCAAAAAGAACATCAACGAACGGATTTATATTTCTTTACAATAATGCTTTATACATAAATACATCATACATGATATTATGTTCAAATAACAATAAATCAAAACTTTAATCATGCTATACATGGGTACCTACACAATTTCAAAAAAGTAACACGCATTAATCGAATAATAATAGTATACTCGTGTTGGTTAAGTAAATTTAGACACCAAGTAAGAATTAAATGTTAAAAATGAAATATTAACTTACCAGTTAACATTTCATTTTTAACATCATTTATGCTTTTTATATTTGATTTTTGTAAATTTGCTTAGTATAAAAGTAATTTTTGACCTAACCTTTACTTAAACCTAAATGTCACTCGATGATTGTAATATCAATAAATATTAAAAACAAGTTTTACAATGGGTACTCTGTCATGATGGAGGTTGCGTTTATTAATTATAACGTCCTGCGGCTGCGCAGTAGCAGCAGGAGGCTGTCACCGCGTCCGCCTAATTGTAAATACACTACCTTTAGCTTCTTATAATTTATTTATATTGTTTCTTTAGCCTCAAGGCATAAGCGGCACCACAATGTCAGCACACGTATATTTTAGACTATAAATCTTGTTTGACACTCCTACACATTTCCCACGGTGTAAAAACAAGAAGATAATGAATCCAAAATTTAAAATATTGTCTTTTTATTCAAAACAATTAACTATTTATTCTCTGTCGTTCCAGGAACATCCGAGCTTACGCGGTACGCCTTTGGCGATGCTTGCGGCGCAGTGCAACAAACTTTCCAGTAAATCACCTCCACCGCTAGCCGATGCAGCCGTTGGCAAGGGGTTTCATCCATGGAAGAAAAGCCCAGGAACGCATTCCCCACCCGGTGCCGGCGCAGCACCGCGCTCTCAACCCCCAACTTGTAATCCATACGGACGTGGACCTACATCATGCGCAGCTGCGCCCTCGTATGGCAACGATCTCTACTTTCCGTCGTCCGGAGACCAGCTACTCGGTAAAAGTGAATCTAGTGCAAGTCTAGGCTCAATGTATTCGCGCCATCCCTACGAGTCGTGGCCTTTTAATGTCGGTGGCGGAGGTGGAACAGGTGCTCTAAAAGCGGCTGAAATGAGTGGTGTCAGTACTGTGGGAAGTACGTGGTGGGATGTACACAGCGGTTGGCTAGATGTCGGCGGACAAATGGCTAATTATGCCGGTCAAGATTATTCTCAGTTGACTCATTCCTTATCGGGTGGTGCACACTTATTACCACCTGCACCTCATCTGTTACAAGACGCTTATAAATCTGTGTTGCCTACACAAGGATCATTCGGTCTGCATGGACCAGGATCGCCGGCACCTCCCGCTCAAGCACCTTCTCCTAGATCACAGCGCCGTTACGCCGGGCGAGCAACATGTGACTGCCCAAACTGCCAAGAGGCCGAAAGGCTGGGGCCAGCTGGCGCACATCTGCGAAAGAAAAATATACATAGCTGTCACATTCCCGGCTGCGGGAAAGTTTATGGAAAAACATCCCACCTGAAAGCTCATCTGCGTTGGCATACTGGAGAGCGACCTTTTGTGTGTAATTGGTTGTTCTGTGGCAAGCGGTTCACTAGGTCTGATGAATTACAAAGACACTTAAGAACACACACAGGCGAAAAGAGATTTGCGTGTCCAGTATGCAATAAGAGGTTCATGAGATCAGACCATCTCGCTAAGCACGTTAAGACACACAATGGGGGAAAGAAAGGAAGTTCAGACTCTTGTTCAGATTCGGAGGAGAATAGTCAGGGAGAAGGTGGTGCGGGAGGAAGGTCGCCAGAGCACGGGTTAGATGTGAAGCCGAACTCGTTGGTGTGACGGGGGCGTGCGGCTCTCGCTGGGCCGCACCACGGGCCGCTCCTGTGATGGCGCCCGCGCGAGTCGCCGCCCCGCTACTGCCCTGTACATACCACATATCACTACACTGTAACATAGACACACGTGTAATTAAAGACAATGCGCCCACGCTGATCCACGCGATTGTGTCTGTATTTGTTGTGAGACTTAAAGTGTTGTACAGTAATAAATATTATTAAAATTAATTAACTCGTGTTATAGTTAGGTATTGTATGTTAAACTAGAGTAAGTAGACACTCTGTAGTCCAAATTTGCAGATTTAATTTATTTATATCAATACCTCAACATGTTTCAAAAGGAATGGTTTATTTATTGTACAGATCTAAACAACTACATATATGTATAGACTTCATTTTGCTCATATATTAGCTGTGCTATTTGCAATATTTTACGTTATTAGCTACTAGATGTTTTTGAATCTGTGAATCATACTTGTGAAAAGTACAATAATCTTTTTTAGAAACAAAAGATATGAAAAATTATTGACATATTGACAGAATGGCGATAAATCAAACATACCTAATAAAAAGAAACAATCTTTTAAGGTAATAGAATACCTATGCAATGTTATGTGAGAAAATACATTTATATTTTTTCTGATAAAAGGAACGTTGACTAAAATTCAAAATAAGGAGATAGCAAAAACAACAACAGACTTAAAACAAAACCGATTTGTACTTGCTCTTGATGTTGTATAATACATAAATCAAGGAATTATATTGTAGGTAATCATGTAATCACTCTTGAAATACTTACAACCTGCCTTGATTTGATTTAATGTAACAAAAACATAACTATGTATGTCACTATCATCAACATTGTTATCTCAGCATCAGGATAGCTATGGCTGAATGCCGCCTTGGGCAAAGATTTTGACAATGATGCATTTATTGCATTTATAACTCTATGTAATGTTCGAAATAAAAAACAGTTCAATCAAGAAATAACTCATATTTTAGTACATAGGGTAAACTATACAATGATTGGCAGTTTAAGAATTCTTTGATCAGTCATTGGCACTAACTTTTAATTACCATTGTTTTTTTCATATATAAATAATCATGAGTTAACAAGTTTAATAAAAATGAATTAGTAGGTATAAACATTCGCATAATAACAAAGTTTATTTTCACTTAACTTACTATCTGTACGCTTCAAAAACTTAGAAAGTTCTGCATAGATTGAATATTTTTTAACACATCAATCCTTAATATTTTTGTTTAAAATTAAGAATAATAATGACTAATGGGGTGCCAAAAATAGTACAACTTACCCTAAATATATTAATGTTTATAATGCAAACCCATCGAAAAGCAATTACCTATTTCAATTTGATATAAAGACCTACATATATAGTTTAAAATCACATGACCCACTACACACTACAGCTCTAAAGAAATTAGTCAGAAAACAGCTAAAAATATAAAAAAAGATCAATCAGCGTTTCATTAGGAATGTAGTATGACAAAAGAAGATATAGGTACCTACATATTTCTTTTATGCGATAATGTAAAAGTAAATTAGGTCACCTTGTATATGAGCTGAATGAGTTAAAATTAAACATTATATATTGAATGTTTAAATAATGAACAATAAATAGAAACATTTTCGTCATTCCCTTTCTACGTCGAACGGTCAGAGCAAAGAGACAAAAGTGTTTCTGTTTTTGTTTGTTAATGAGGAACTTAACATGTATAAAGCCTATTTAAAATATACTTTTATGTGTTTTTTAACTGCTGGTGTTACATCTTCGCCAGGTAATATCAAAAAGTATTTGGTGATAATTGTTAGCTTGACAACATTAATTGTAAAATTTATAATGTATATTGTACAAAATTGTGCGAATTAAAAAATGCCTGAAATTGATTTTATAAAAATTGAATATATTTTTCCGAGTGGACATTTGCATTTTTATTTATGACTGATGGATGGATTATTTTAAGCAGGTAAAGAAAGTAAATCAAAGAAAATGTTATTTTGGCTTCAAGCTCCTCAGGTCAAGTATAACTTGGAATTATTTATTTTTAATTTAATTTTAATCAAGTTAACTTCGACAAATTCAACTAAGAAATTATTAGAATACTATTATCATATTATTAGTAGTTATTGACAATAACATATCAGTCTAGACTTAAGGTATCACCTAAATTACAAATATCTACTATCTTGGTCATATATATACAGTAGTAGTATCTAGTAGTAGCATACCTATATACTTACATAATATATACACATGTATAGTTTTGGAGAGCAACATATTCTCACATAGGTTTCACTTACTGCCTTTCTTCTATTAAGTTTGTTCCGTAACACTCCTCTCTAATTAGTAAGTAATTAGTAAGTAGACCTACTGTCAAGGAGCTATATCTATCCAAAGTAACATGGTTGAAGCTCGTGGAAACGCAGTTAAATTATTCTATTAGATTGGTTACTTAGAAGCAATGAGTCACACACAGAATACATTTTCAAAAACGTCGATTTGAAGTATAACTTCATTATTATAAATAAATGCAGAACAATACGACACAGTTCTTTCGATTAGCAAGCTCTAATAAAAGCCTTTGGTAGTAGGAGAAATGACAATGTTGGTAAGAGAAGATCTTATTAGGCAATATCAATGACTGAAATGAAATTTGATGTACTCTATTAGATGTAACCGTGACCTGATCCAAGTAGGATCCGGCTCAGTCTAAATGCTTAGTTGCCCTAAGTTGGAAGCAGTCAACACATTTTCTATGAAACGGGCGTTTGCAAGGTATGTAAGTCATTATTGGAATTACATGAAGTTTAGGCTGATGATGATGATTAAGGACAAAAACCATTTAAAGAAGCTACTGATACTCTGTGTGGATAGAAACATACTATTTTAATTAACACAGGTACTTGAACAAATGAATATTGCTATTGCACGAAAATTAATTAAAGTGACATTACCACATTCAAAAGTATTCTAATCCAGAATTTACTCGTAGAACAGTTAAGTAAAATTTTGATTTAACAAATTGTGGTGTTTAGGGCATTTTAAGTTAGAAGTCATTTGGAAAGCAATAAGGGTGACGTTCGTCGTAAAACGCGAATTGAAACCACAAATGACGAGGGGAGCTTAGTAAATATAATAACAAATTTAACCTATGTTATATCATTGTGTCTGCATAAAGCAGTTAAACATTTTGCTAGTGGTCGTAAAAAGAAATAAACATTTTCAAGATCTCAGATTAAGTAACAAGTGTTGCTTATTTTATACAATGTTGTAGTAATAATGGTTAGGGATTCCCATATATATTCAAATGCAAGAGCTAATTACTAACTCCAAAGCTATCATAATGTGTACTATGCAGTTAAGTGTATTTGAAACAAATGTGTAAAAACCTGCTCCTACACCTTCAAATGATCAAAAATTATACACCAGAAATGCCATCATGAAACACCATTCCAAAATAGCAACTCCAGCAAGATAAATACAAATTATGTTCGTGGCATAGCGTAAGCTCAGTATACTTTAATATTAAGTGTCGCCTCGGCGGGTGGCCGCGAGCTCGTGCCGTAAAAACCGAGCTCATCTCCAACACAAGTAAGTACTTTACACCGCACACTGCTAGTCTAGCTTAATCTACGCTTCTTTATTAATGACACGACGCTTCGGTGGTCTTGCCATTTCACCTCCATGATGTGTCAAATACGACAGTCGACTTCTGAATTCATTTATGGATTCATCGCATTTTGTGTTTTGAAACAGCACTAGTTGAGTATGATACTTCTTTTGGTAATTGATTCTACGCTAAACCCCGGAAAGAAGTACCATATATTTAGCACTGGAACATGAAACCTGGTATAAAAAATATTAACATTGAATAAAAAATGTGAGTAGATCTTCCTTATACGCACCGGTTCTTCATGAGTTCTTCATCTACGGTTTACTTAGACGGTCTTTCTTTCCTCTTTAGCTTTACCAGCTCCAAAAAGAGCTTAATGGATAAAAATTCAACTTAGTATTTTTTAAGCTCTAATAAATCTGGCATGCATTTCAACTTAATTTAAAAATTCTAAGCCATATCTCGCTAAGAAGTGAATAATAAGTAGCCAATATAAGCAAAGCACTATAGTCCTCGTAAAGGTTTACGTAAAATAGATAAACTGATGTGCTAGACCAACTAGTCGATGAAAGGCAGAACAGTAGTCCACTAACTGAATGTCTCCAAAATAACATAGTATAAGATCATAACAAAGCAGTTGAATTTTTATTACATAGAAGCAAGAAGCCACACACATAATGCAATTTACGTTAAATTAAGGTATGACGTTATTTCAGCAAAAATCGTAAATGTTTTAATGCAGTACGACACGGCACAATTGTAGGTCTACAAAATGTTGGTTTCTAAATACTTTTTGCACTCTTAGCGGTATTTGTTGATTAGTACTTTATAGTGTGATTTAAATGACCCGATAAACAAACACAAAAATATTTTTTCTTTATAGTGCTAATAGAACTACTACTACTTTCAGGTGTAGCTATTTACAACTGATGCCACAGTTGTAAAATCCAATAGGTTTAACGTTGCATTTCATTAATATATTGAAAATTAAGTTACCGAAGAGTCAATACTAATTTAATTACAGCAGCGGGTCCACATCTGATTAAACTTAAGATTACACAATTAATCACGTCGAAATGATCTCTATAATCACATAATGCTGACCGTTATCGCAGTCAGCCTCTGTAATCAAATTTAATCCTACCCTTATGCCCTTTCGCACAGATTTATCGGCCCTAACCAAATTATGCGTAAACTGAATCAGAGGGAGGCCTTGTTAACTGTTTTATATTCCAGTCGAGGACTCTCCCCAGTCTGGGACAAGTATAAGTCACAATATTTGCGTAGACGTTTGTTTTTATAGTTATTGCACCCCGTTGAAAATTGAAACATTTACCTAGCAAAACACCTACTACATCTTATGTTTAC